ATATATTAAAAATAGGGCTTAAACACTAATATTCCATGGAACATTAGTGTTTAAGCCTTTTTATTATATATATATATATATATATATATATATATATATATATATATATATATATATCGGCGCGTAGTACAGAGAAAGGAAGATTGAACAACAATAGAACTATACTCATTTCGTTTGGATAAAGAAAGATATCGATTGAATGGAAAAGAAAAAGAAAACTAATATAAATAATTATTTAGACTCTTTGCCGGTTTCCTTGTATTTTTTTCGTGGTCGGATGCACGTATACTTTAATGACGTGACTATAAGTCATACGTTGCTTTCTTTAGACCACGTGTGTCAGGAAGGTTACCTTTGAACTCACCATCTAAAACGCATACCTTTGCCAAGGCACGTTAATGAACAATACGTATGTATTGACGAAAAATAACCAGCTCATTATCTCCCCACCCCTCAGGAAGTAAGAAATCCTTCTGGCAAGAGTCACATTAAACAAAAGAAAAAAAAGAAAGAAATTAAGTATCATTGCGATATTTGGCTTGAAATTGCTCAACCTCTCTTTCGATCGAACACTAACTTCCCAGGGTGGAAAAAAACTGGCTGGTTACGTTCAATACCTCTAAAACCAAATTGGTTACATTCCATTACCGCCTATCAGTCTCTGAACTACCCCCAGTCACGATGAATGGATGTCACCTCAAGGAGACATCGTGCCTTGAAAGGATATTGGGCCTCAGATACACACTCATCCTCAAGGAGAACTGTTATATACGATTCATCGGTAAAGATGTAGATAAAATGGTCTGTTCCCTGTACCGCTCCACTAAGTACCTGACTCCTCATGCTATCCTCTAACTTTATACGAGCCAGATCAGACGCGAAATAGAGTAATTTTACCATATTTGGGCTGGAGCTGAGCAAGCTTCACTTTCCAGTCTTAATATTCAAAAGCGTCTCCGAGTCCTTGTCGGTGAATAATTATTGTCCACATTCCAACCTCTCTCTCTCACACAGGCGGTTGTGGCGAATCTCTCACTGTTTTATCTCTACAACCATGGAGAGTGCATCTCCTTGTTCCACCAGGCCTGACCTTCACGGCTAGAACCCGCCATGTCACTTACATAATAGCAAACCACCCTTATTATCTCCGTATTCCATCGGCTAGAAGTAAGGTCCACTTGAGCAGCTTCTTCCAGCGAACCATTGTCCTATGGATTAGACTGCCAAGTGGATGTTTCCCCGATCACTACAATTTTAACCTGTTCAAGTCTAGAGTCAATCGTTCAATCCATATATCATATCCATATAAACTATCCCTTACCGTAACCCTCTATCTCAAGTGGCCTCGGGCTATTTACAGGGTGCACCTTACTGGAAAATAAAACAAATTCTCACTTTTCTGCCTTGATAAAGATCAAATTCGTTTCCATTCTTGTAAGAGATTATTTATTTTCCACTCTATAAACGTTTTTTCTTCGACTGACACAATGTTGCCATCTTGTTGCTAGTCTATCATTATTTCCATGATAAATATTCAGAGGAACTCCATTCTTTCTGTCTACCAGTTCAGATATTTAATTCTAGGACACGTCATGCTACATCCAGGGGACCAATCACGTTTATTTCTTTCGTATTATAAGAAGTTCGGAGTACAGAGTTTTTTCTCAAGTGCCGCTACTTTGTGAAAACACACGCTGCAACTCATTAATCTTGATCCCTTCAGGTCAAAGGTCGATAGCTATGCATAACCCTTATCCTCATAATCTTCCTTTCCTAACACCAGATAATTTCCACTTTTTACTACCCTTTTTCCACTCCTCCTCGGGCTTTTAAACAGGAGTAGAGGTTTATCCTTTGTTTCCCGTTTAAGACTAAAATATATAATTTAAAAAAAAAATCTCCGTACTTGGAGTTTTAAAAAAAATCACATTTTGTATTTTACTATTAACCGTAATAAATCTATAAAAATAAACATTTATGTTTAAACAAAAATTCCAGGCATGTAAAACGTGTGTATCTATGTCAAGTGTGTGTTTGTATATATGTCTATAGGTTAGTGTGTTTATGTATCTCTCCGTCTGTGAATTTTTAGTTTAATTTATTGTATGTTTATGATAAGTACTACTGACTGATATCATATTTCCTCAAGACTACCCAGTCACAATGATCACCCCAACCTTCTAGTCGATGTTTTAAGGCAGCAACATTCTTTGATTTTCGCCGTCTTTAAATTAAATTTAATTTGCCTTTTTTCCAATTGATAGATTTCGCTAAAAAAACTTATACTATACAGAATAAATTAATTAAAACGGACATTTGAAAACAATAAGTTGAAAGAAAAATGTGTTCTTTGAAAAACATGATGTACATGTTATTAGAGATTTTTAAAAGATTATATAATATTATATAAAAGATTATACAATTAAAGCAAGAAATACATTGCCTATTAAGTATGTTTCCAGCTGAAAGGGCTCATATTAACGCAGCATTACTAGCCAGGTAAATTTTATTTCATTCTTTTTTTTTTACTTAATTTCTTTCTTTCTTTTATTCTTTTCTTCTTTCTTCCTTATTATGAACAATATGAACGAAATGTATTTCGGTCAATATTTTGAAGTACAGAGTTGAAACAATAATTTTAGAAACAGATGAAGTCAAGAATGAAAACGACGCACTAGGAATGATTTCTTTTGTTTCAAAATATACTTGAATGTTGACTCGCTCGGGCAGAGCCAGACAAGCCCGCTCCCGGAAGTCGACACTGATATACATATATATATATATATATATATATATATATATATATATATATATATATATATATATATATATGAATGTATGTATAATAGGGCACAGTGAGTAGTGGTTGTAATAAAACAGTGTTCGATGAAATTAATAGAGCTAAAATTTATACTATTAATAAATATACATTGGTTCCTCATCATCTGGTAAAACTTTTTCTTTTTTTACCAGTAACTAATAAATGTATTATTACTACTATTATTATTATTGTTATTAGTGTGTATATATATATATATATATATATATATATATATATATATATATATATATATATAATGTATTATTAGTCTAAATATAAATATATTTATTATAATTATATATATATATATATGTGTGTGTGAACCCTTTCAGTTTCGCTGTTTAATTATTTTCGTTCCAATAAGTCTTTCACGAGAACGAATGAACGAAATATTTTCCTTTAGAAGAATGCATTCCATCATTTTCGAAGCCATAATTACATTCTGTGGTACAAAATTTTTGTTTATATATATATATATATATATATATATATATATATAGGTAAGTTCAAAATTATCCGAATATTCGGCATACCATATCTTTAGAGAAGAGTGCGAATAATTTTTACTTCCTCGTACATATATATATATATATATATATATATATATGTGTGTGTGTGTGTATGTGTGTGTGTGTGTGTGTGTATATGTGTGTGTGTATGTGTGTGTGTATGTATATGTGTGTGTGTATGTGTGTGTGTATGCATATGTGTGTGTGTGTGTGCATGTATATGTGTATGTTTGTGTGTGTGTGTATTATTAGTAGTAAAAATTCACTGATTCCCGGACTGATACTAAACCACAAAACTTATTCTTACTGGACGAGTAATGGTTAAAGAGATCTGTGTATTCCTTTACAGTTTCCTCGCGACCTCTGGTTCAATAATCTAATCACATACAACCTAAATAACGCTATTTGACAACAAAAAAGAAGTTATTATATTTGAAAGTGTTTTTTTTAATGCCATAACGAATCAAGCGGACCTAAATCAAGAGATGAAAGACCAGTTCAATAGTCTATGATCATGTCATACTTGTATGTGCAATAAATTAATGTTTGTAAACTAATAGAAAAAAATGAGGAAGATCTTAAAATTAAGCGATGATGAAGAGTTTTACCTTGCGTCATGTTGACTTGGACGCTGGAGAAAACTCACTGTGAGGACACTATATTTTTTTATCAAATTGTAAAAGCATCATTAATCATGGCTATTAAATCGAATTCAAATCATCGTATGATCTAGTAGATCACCGGGGGCCTAAACCAAGTATTTCTTAACACAGTGAGGGTTACTTGGTTGTTGCCATTTCGTTTCCATGTAACACACGACAGGTTTTATTTGGTTACATATTACTAGCAGCATACACTAATTTATAACCTTGTAGAGGACCGGGTGTGTTTGTGAGCTGTTGAATTGGGAACACGTGCCTTTATTTCCTGCTAGAATGTCCAACTACACGAAAATGGCGGACTCAAATTTAGTCCAATCGAAGATGAAGAGAAAACAAACAAACAGGACCTATACATATATATATATATATATATATATATATATATATAGGTAACTATACTCGTCTTGAAAAACCTTCGAATTTTTCATTTACCAATAATCAAATCATTCTCTAAGGAAAAAAGGTTTTAAAAAAGAAAGTGCGAGAAACATGAAAGTCCGTCGGAAAAAATAGCACAGATACAGGTTTGAAGCCCAAAGAAAAAATCCTGACACGAGTAAACAACTAACTAACAAAAGAGCTCAATACAACCGTAGAGCAGACCTAGATAAACCTAGTGAGCCAGACAAACCTATCTATGTTTAACCTTAGCGGATCCGCTTAGGTGAAACGTAGGTAGGTTTGTCTGGCTCACTAGGTTTGACTAATATATATATATATATATATCAACAAATATATGTATTAAACAACAGAATTTTACAATGGGCATAGACAATAACATTTGCGTGTGTGTGAATATTTGTGATTTTTCTTCGGTGATTGTTTGTACGTACGTGCATGTGTGTATACATATATCAATGAAATAATAGTTTACAGCTATATAACGTTGAAACAAATCTTAACAATAAACCTTGAACTGGGCGGAAAAGAGCTGGATTCATTTCTTTCCCCCCGATTAACAATTCCGAGCCATTAACCATTACAGCACCCGCACATTCAAACTTACATACGTGTTATTCCCAAGCAGTCACCCATCTAGATAGTAACCGGGCTCGACTTTGCTTAACGTCAGTGATCGTACGGGAACCGTCATCTCAACGTGATGTGACCGTAAGCGCCTGGAGAAACAGGGGATAGCAGCTAATACTTGATAAGTTTTTGCAAATGGATAGCGTAAAAGTGGCACAAAAACAAAAACGCGCCGTAGAAGAAAGAAAGGAAATGTTGGAGAGCCATGACCGTTCATATTCTTAAGGAATGCGCCACATAAGAGAGAGAACGAGCAAAGCATTATTTATTTCGCAACTGATAGCAGATATAACTGGAAATTATTCAATGCTGTCTGTCGTATGAGCGAATGTTTTAGATAGTGTAGGTGTGTACGATTTTAACATTTTTTTGTAGGTTGAAATTTATAAAATACTTCTCTTAAAATTTTGTACACAGCAGCTGTTATTGCCCTTTCCAGTATTGATGGGTTTTCTTTCGTAACCCTTTGTTTTAAATAGTGTGGAACGTCAACATCATGATAATGTCATTATTTTGTCTTGGAGCCACGTGTGATATCTATTTTAGGTGTTGCTGATGTTTAAAGTCCTCAGCTGATGTGGTTCCTGTTATTTGGTACAATTCTTTGTGATTCTGTAATACCAGTAAATAAGGTCCGAATAAAATTGTTTTTCACTAAGATCTATAGGCTTCGCTCTCTCAAAGCCATTTTTAACCATTGATCTGAGAGAGCGACTGTATAGAGCTGACAGCTTAAATATTGCTGGACGTTTCTGGCGCCATGATTGATATGGCCTTCTTTAAGTGCGTCTAGTTATTTGATAATCATGAGTTTTAACAAGTGGATTAGCGCAAGTCATATACTTCGGTTCATAACGATGAAAATAACTAATAGTAGATAGTAAAGCAAGAATAATATGCAATTGTAATGGCAATATTAGCCGTCTCCTTATAAGTAAACATTCGGCATTCATTGATCGAGCATCTACTATCAGTTGAAATTTCTAAAATCTTTCTAATAAAACAATTTTTCAGAAAAATAGGTTTTTCAAGTCCATTAGCTGTTATCGCTTTTTCCATTAATGTAGAGACGTTTCCTTCCTAACCTTTTGTTTAAAGTAATGTGGAACGTCAACATCTTGATTATGTCATTACTTTCTCTTCAAGTGACATATGCTATTTATTTTAGTTGTTGTTGTTAAAAATTCCTCAGGTGATGTGGTTTCTGTTATTTGGTAAAGTTCTTTGCGATTCTGTAGCGCCAGTCCGCAAGTTTCAAAGAAGAATAGTTCTCGGTAAAACCTATAAGCTTCATTCAGAAAAATAGGTTTCTCAAGTCCACTGTTATTGCTCTTTCTAGTATTGATGGAGGTTTCCTTCCTAACCTTTTGTTTGAAGTTGTGTGTAACGTCAGCATCTTAATTATGTTAATTATCTTCGAGTTACATGAGATATCTATTTTAGTTGTTAGTTGTGAAAGTAAGTTTCATTTCTTATGTCTCATCTCCAGTCCTGCTTTTGAATTTTAGTTGTTGCTTGCGTTCGTTCAGTAAACTTCAAATTTTCAGTAACTCACTTTACTTCTTCATTTATCGGGTGGTTCAAATATTATTTACGATATTCATTCTCATTAAAAGTCAGTCTGTGGTGTGTTTGGACTGTAATATGTAAGCTCCGACATATCTTCCTAACGTGTAGGTTACGCAGTTCCCAACCTATTACCCATCCTATTCATTCATGTTGATTGATATATTCCTCCTGTGATAAGTTGTTACTTTTTAAAAATAATTTCGCCCCAAGCAAGGGGATAATTCCACTAATATGCAAGTAGCTACTCCTGCCCAATGAGACGGTGGAGGAGTGTAAACTGTTCGATAGGTGAACTTATATCCACATAAATTTTAGATTTGTATTAAAAAAGTCACTTCCGACTTGTTAAGTGATGAATGATTTAGGATTTTAAATGATTTACTATTTTAATGTTTATTGAACTGAATTTATTGACAATTGACGTTACTGTCTATTGAACGGTTTAATATCTCCTAACACATACACACTTTGAGACACTGAGAGAGTGGGGATGAAGAGACGGTGAAGAAAAGACTAAGTTATAAGATAAAAGAGAAGGGAACAAAGAGAGAGGGAAACAGATGAAATAAAATATAGACAAAGAGAGAGAGAGAGAGATGAGGTAAAATAGAGACAGAGAGAGAGAGAGAGAACGGATTTGAGCGGTGACGGTTTTTGATGTTATTTATACAGTCTTGTAATTTGCCTATCGGCTTTAGTCTGCCAATTTTCTTTTTGTATTTTTCTTTCCGTTTTGCTTGTAGGCACAACTTGGGGTAATCATAAACAAATAAAAGCTGTTTTTCAACAAATTGAAAACAGTTTGTTGTTTATATATTTCAGTGCGAAATTCTATTTCTGCAAGCAAATAAATCACCGTGATCTATGAAGATGAAAGGCAAAACTGATAGGCGAGATTTCAATCAGAATAACTTTTACGCAGGCTGCAGCAGTGAGGATTGAACTTGCTACACGTACAACGGTCTCCTGCTGAGGCTGGCAAACATTTCTTGGACTTGATCCAAATTGGCAGTATTTTTCGCATTTGTAAGACACGTATGGCTATATATCATGTCGTCGCTTTACATCCTAAGAGATGACGGATCCTTTCGAGAAGAAACAGCGTGTGCGTGAGTGGATTTTTAAATGTGTAATGAAAGCTGGGCAATTTCCCGACAGATGAAACTTGAGATGTGAGTCTACAGAAGGATGCCTAGAACACCATGGATAGAACATGTGAGAAATAAGAAAAATTGGAACGAAAAGGGCACTTTCTTTCTAGTTGCCGTGTCCTTTAAGGACGTAGGCGATCATGTCTCTCCACTACCTTCTATCCCTTACAGACCTCAACAAGTTCCTTCCCCCTGCTACTTCCCATTGACAACGTTCTGTCATCCACTTGCTTAAAGTCGCTAGGTATGTCATGCGTTGTTTTCCCTTGTCTCTTTTTCCCTCTATTCAGTCCGTGAGTATCAGATTCTCTAGGCCCTCCTTCCTCATTATGTGTCCCAGAAACTTCAGCTGCCTCTTCCCTTGTCTCTTTTCCCTCTATTCGATCCGTGGGTACCAGATTCTCTAGGCCCTCCTTCCTCATTATGTGTCCCAGAAACTTCAACTGCCTCTTCCTGATTTAAGTATAAATCCCCTCCTTGTTTGAATCCTCTCTAAAACCTCATCGATGCTCACACGCTCGGTCCATGATATCCTTAGCATCCTTCTGTAGAACCATATCTCCGTCGCCTCGAGTCTCTTCTTCATCTTTAAGGAAATCGTTCAACATTCACTGCCATAACGGAGGACAGATGTCACGTAACAGCTTAGTATTCTTTTCTTTGTTACCAAAGAAATCCTCCTGTCTCGCAATACTCTGCCCAGTGTTTTGGAATGCGTCCTTATCCATCCCAATATGTCTACGGATATCAGTGTGGCATTTACCGTCCTCTGTGAAGACGTTTCTCAGATATTTAAACTTCCGCGTCTGCTTCATTCTAGCGTTCCCGACCTGCAAATCGCATTTCCAGCTCCTGAAATGTCCCATAAAGATAAAAGATGCTTTGGAGATTATGACACTCACTGAAGGTAAGAGGAGCAGAGGGAAAAAGCGAGTTTGATGGCAGGACAGAGACTACGAGTGAGAGTAAGGTGACAAACATTGCTTACAGCTACAAAGAAAAGGAAGTTGTGACGAACTATTGTATGAAGAGACTTCAGAGATGTATTTATACAGACAGATGATCAGAAGACTATGGACAGAATGAGTTAGCAGTGAACAATATTTAAGGAATATGAGAAACAATGGTAACAATACGGAGAGTGGAATCGGCGAATTTTTAACTGAGACGGTTTGAATATCATTTCGTAATAATACATTTGAGAATGGTAAAAAATACGTAGCTCTCGTGTCTTGGCTATGATGATAAACTACATCCGGCAGCAACGCCTCTGGTCAGGATTTTCGAGGTTTCGAGTAGCGTGGAACCACCTCTTAATTGTTATTCACAGGTCCATACTAATACGGGGTGGTAGCAACAGTTAGGGTCCCAGCTATGGGCAAGTAGTGAAACTCCAGACAAAAAAATATGAAAGTATAAAAATACATTTTCATAGTAAAATTACAAATAATAACTATTTATAATAGAATTGCTCAAAATACTTTTTATAGAAAAATGATCAAAAATACATTTTATAGCAAAATGACCATGAATTCATTTCATAGCAAAATAACCAAGAATACAGTTTATAGCAAAATAACCAACAATACATTTTATAACAAAGTAACCAACAATACATTTTATCTGTAGTTGAATGCATACAATTGCCATCAAAATATTTAGTTGAAGCCATAAAATTGTGTTCAAAATATTTGGATTTCGGCATTAAATTTCAGTTTCAAGAAATATGTTGACAAAGCTTCGGTAAATAAATACTCTTCTAGCGTATCGCAGTACGTCTATGCCTAATTGGTTTAAACTAAGTTTTCCCTAGTCAATTGCTGGCATCCAAGGGTAAAGACTTAAGAGGGAGAAGAGATCTATTTTTCTAAAGCACCTTGTGTTAATTTAGCATAATGGATACAGTCGGAACTTGAACTCAGACCGCCGATTTCACGTATGGCACATCCGGCTATATAAATAAAACTATATTTTTAATCACATACATTTAACTGTATCAAATAGTATTTTCCATTACGAATCAGCATAAACATTAATTTTGCAGCGGTAGCTTAAAAAAAGAAGAATCAATGAGAATAACTGTATTATTTCTTCTGGGATAAAACTAATTTAAATTGTGAACCAAAATTTATTTTCTTCTCATCAAAATTGATTAATGTTGATCGGTGGAAAACAAGCTATTTGCAGATTAGCTTGTTTCTTAATTGAAAATATCTTCTCATATACATAGGTTGTTTCAAATATTGAAATTAATTGTCTGGCAACAGATTTTAGAAGTGAATCTCGTTTATCTGGCAGGCATTTTAAAAAGTTAGCTTATCATTACCTATTTGTACTCGTCATTGGACGACAAATCAAAGCCTTT